CATGTTGAATCGGGAGGCCGTCTGCTAAAGGCGGCTAAAGGCCGTCGGCCAAAGACACCACTCTGATTGGCTGTTCAGCTAGCGAATCAGTGCATGAGAAGCGAAATGGAAGTGAGGGACCCAAACAAACTATTAAGAAGACACATTTCATTTACCTCCAGCTCTCGACTCAGGTTCGGGAAAGCCCCGTGAGCTTCTCGCTGTAGAGTGAAAATGGAACGCACACGCTATGTGTTGTTTGTTTATATCACGCGGTCTGTTCTTCTTCTCTCGGTTATCAAGCAGGCTGTCTTCCGGTTGTTGCCTCTTTTGAATGACGAATACACACTACCGCCGCCTGCTGGTAAGGAGAGTTATTGCCACTCACGCATGCGCAGTTCGTACGTGCTTCTTGGCCGTCGGCTGAAGACTTTGCGGTGTGTTCCAGTGCGACACATGGCCAAGACGCAGAGATGTGAGGCGACACAACAGTCGTGTTTCGTCGGGACGTGTTCTTTGGTGTCAGCTTGGTGTGTAGGGCTCTTTAGATGAAAATAAGGAGCCCCTCCCCACGCCCCTCTGAGAGATATTTGGTTAAAAAGAACTCAATGGTGCTCTAGGAGGAGATTCAGGTGATAAGGTGGTGGTGGGGGGGGGGGGGGTTACCTTGGTTGCTGATTGGCTAATGGTTACACAAGACAACACATCGTTATGACATCATAAAGTGGCCAAAATCTGATCAGCTCATTTTCAGACAGGTTTTTATAGAAATGGACCAAAAAGAGAGAGAATCTTTGTTCCTGAAACTTTCAGAGTCTCTTTCCACAGAGGGGACACATGTTGATGTAGAAGAGACATGAAGAAGAGGGGACACATGTTGATGTAGAAGAGACATGAAGAAGAGGGGACACATGTTGATGTAGAAGAGACAGGAAGAAGAGGGGACACATGTTGATGAAGAAGAGACATGAAGAAGAGGGGACACATGTTGATGTAGAAGAGACATGAAGAAGAGGGGACACATGTTGATGTAGAAGAGACATGAAGAAGAGGGGACACATGTTGATGTAGAAGAGACGTCAAGAAGTGGATTTAGCATAATAGGTGACCTTTAAGGTAAGACACACTCACACACAGACCAGAAATAATAAATGTCTCATCATGTTTCGTCTTACCTCCTTTGTAAGAGTCCTTGAGCGTCCGTGAGATCCACTGAACGGCTTTAGCGGCTACTTTAGTGCCAAAGTTTCTGTCAAAGGGAGACGGAGCTCCTCCCTGGGAAAAGGACGGACAATATAAAACCACAAGTTCAAAAATAAGGATATTTGCATAAGATATGTACGATGATCTTGACTAAAGCAGCATAAATGTGCCTCAGGAGAGACTTGAAAACACGTTGTTGCTGGCTAACGGGAAAGAGCTGTGAAAAAATGTAGTGCCATTTAAATAAATTACACAAATTATTATTATTCATAAAAAAGCATACTACGTTTTTGTATAAGTTATTTATGTATAGATATTTAAATGCTTAGTCCTTAGCAAGGTTATGTAAGATTGTTTTTCACAGATTCTTTGTATTTTATTATTGAGCTGTGTGCTATTTGTAAAGAAATAAAATATTTGTTGAACATAATGCAAAGTGAGAGTGCGTACGCGTGCGTGTGCGTGCGTGTGTGTCTGTGCATGTGTGTGCGTGTGTGCATGCATGCGTGTGTGTCTGTGAGTGTGTGTGTGTGTGCGTGCGTGTGTGTGTGCATGCGTGTGTGTCTGTGTGTGTGTGTGTGCATGTGTGTGTGTCTGTGAGCGTGTGTTGTCTGTCTGTGAGTGTGTGTGTGTAGGCGTGTGCATGTGTGTGTGTCTGTGTGTGCGCGTGTGTGTGTGTCTGTGAGTGTGTGTGTGTGTGTGTGTGTGGGCGTGTGCATGTGTGTGTGTCTGTCAGTGTGTGTGCGCGTGTGTGTGTGTATCTGTGAGTGTGTGAGAGTGCGTACGTGTATGTGTGTGTGTGTGTGTGTGTGCGTGCATGTGTGCGTGCGTGTGTGCATGTGTGTGCGTGTGTGTCTGTGTGCGTGTGTGTGTGCATGTGTGTGTGTGCGTGTGTGTGTGTCTGTGCGTGTGTGTGTGTGTGTGTGTGCATGTATGTGCGTGTGTGTCTGTGTGTGTGCATGTGTGTGTGTCTGTGTGTGTGCGTGTGTCTGTCTGTGAGTGTGTGTGTGTGTGTGGGCGTGTGCATGTGTGTGTGTCTGTGAGTGTGTGTGTCTGTGTGTGTGTCTGTCTGTGAGTGTGTGTGTGTGTGTGTGTGTGTCTGTGAGTGTGTGTGTGTGGGCGTGTGCATGTGTGTGTGTCTGTGAGTGTGTGTGTGTCTGTGCGCGTGTGTGTGTCTGTGAGTGTGTGCGTGTGTGCGCGCGTGTGTGTGTGTCTCACCTGCTGCATGTGACCCAGGATGTTCTTCCGGCAGTCGAACACCCCCTTCCCCTCCTCGGTGTACAGCTGGTAGATGAAGTCAGTGGTGTAGTTCTCATTGGAGTTCTCATTCCTAAAGAGCACAAACATTACCAAGGCGTTGGTACACTGAAATCAAAAGAAAGAAACTACCGTACACTTCTTCGGAACTACTTTCTACCAAAAAACGAATTCCCTGAGAAGTAAACTATCCATCGTAAAAGGAATCATCGCTCTCAGCGGTCGAACAAAGTGCACATGTGAGCCGGGGCATTAACTTTACTGCTCCGTTGTTATATAGGACACATGTGCTTTGCAGGTTGCACCCTCTGCACAGATATGCAATGTCACCGACACACCGTCCGAAATATATCATCCGTCCTATTTCCTCCCAGCTCCGTCCTGCTGGGAGCATTCTACACAGCCTGATGGTGCAGAGGACCGAAATAGACCCGAAAGATGACGGGAAGTAAAGTGTGTGAGGTCGATTAGCTGTCAAACACCTTCAAAACACATCAGTTGTGTGTAACGACATTAAAACTGATGTTTATCTACAGAAATGCATTAAAGATTATTTACCATTAAAAACAGTCAGAAATATTATTTTAGAGTCTTTTCTCTCCCTCAGTTGTACACACACACACACACACACACACACACACACACACTCGTGCAACATCCAAAAGGCTAAAGAGTGTGTGTGAGGTGATAATAAGAAGGAAGCCTCACCTGAGCACCAGTCCTCTCTGGATGGACGTCTTCATCTTCTGCGTCAGATGCTCCACGTTGGCCTGAAAACACAGAAAAAAGTCCCGCGTTAAACCGGAGCGCTGCAACCGGAGCGAGCAGCAAACAAAGTGACAAATCACAAGCATGAGATCCTTAAACCCCCCCCCCCCCCCCCTCAGATCCTTATTCCCTTCAGAGGGGAGAGGCTGCAGGAGGACATTTACACCACCAGGGGGCAGCAGGTCGTAAAAGTTAATTAGGAGTAAAATCCTTTGACCTTCACCAAATATATGAATGCTTGTGTGGAAGAGTGAGGTGATACCGCATGAACATTTCTGATGCCCTTGATATCAACAACAAAAAACAGCCGTTCTGAAAGTAAATCAAACCCTAGATTAAAGTGAACGAAACCCAGTGTGGATGTGTGTGTGTTAAGGCCCGGACACACCAGGCCGAAATTGGCCGTTTTCGTTAGTCGGACGACGAAGCGTGCCCTGTCGCCCAAACTCAATTTGGTGTGTCCCGCACCGTCGGCCGTGACACGCCTTATTAGTTCTTTCATGGCCGACGCACGGCCACAGGCAGTCGGACAAAGAAATCACTCTGATTGGCTGTTCAGCTAGCGAATCAGTGCATTAGAAGTTGCTTGAGAATGTCTTCCACAAGCAACACTCCAATGGCTGATAGCTCCAGTGCCGCACGAAACATGTTTTCGATGGACGAGAGTGGAAATGGAACGCCCACGCTATTTGTTGTTTGTTTAGATCACGCAGTCTGTTCTTCTTCTCTGTCTTCCGGTTGTTGCCTCTTTTGAATGACGAACACACACTACCGCCGCCTGCTGGTAAGGAGAGTTTTTGCCACTCACGCATGCGCAGTTCGTACGTGCTCGGCTGAAGTCTTTGCGGTGTGTTCCAGTGCGACACATGGCCAAGACGCAGGAGAACACGGCGATGCAACAGTCGGCGTCGGCGAGTTCTCTGGTGACTGCTTGGTGTGTCAGGGCCTTTAGGTGAAGAGCTACTGTATGCCATTTAAAGAGTTGTGATTAAGAACAGAGTTCAGGTTTGACACAGTGACCGTCGTGAAGCCTCCGATCACATGACCGATCCGTCTGTCATGAGCGATGCAGTGCAGAGTTATTTATACCTTTCCTCACACGACGCAATGCCGTCATCTGGGTCACATGCGGGACGAGGCAAAGTAACAGAGTCAGGAGGAGAGTCTCAAAAGATATCAAATGCTGTACGCCAACAACTTAAATGAAGGCTCTGAAATAGCACCTATAGAAGCATATCTGTTGATGTTATGAAGAACAAAGAGAGACATGGTGGTCCCTACGTTGTTTTAAAGGTCCCATATTATAGGTCTCAGATATATACAGAGCCTGTCTCTGATTGGCTGAAACACCAAACAGATCGTTGCAGCATTACCCATAATCCCCTCTGTTTCAGCCCTGTTTCCAAAGTGCTGATTCTCTGTCTGTTACTTCAGATGAAAACAAGGAGCCCCTCCCCACGCCCCTCTGAGAGACATTTGGTTACAAAGAACTCAATGGTGCTCTAGGAGGAGATTCAGGTGATAAGGGGGGGGGGGTTACCTTGGTTGCTGATTGGCTAATTGTTACACAAGACAACACATAGTTATGACATCATAAAGTGGCCAAAATCTGATCAGCTCATTTTCAGACAGGTTTTTATAGAAATGGATCAAAAAGAGAGAGAATCTTTGTTCCTGAAACTTTCAGAGTCTCTTTCCACAGAGGGGACACATGTTGATGTAGAAGAGACATGAAGAAGAGGGGACACATGTTGATGTAGAAGAGACATTAAGAAGAGGGGACACATGTTGATGTAGAAGAGACATCAAGAAGAGGGGACACATGTTGATGTAGAAGAGACATGAAGAAGAGGGGACACATGTTGATGTAGAAGAGACATGAAGAAGAGGGGACACATGTTGATGTAGAAGAGACATGAAGAAGAGGGGACACATGTTGATGTAGAAGAGACATGAAGAAGAGGGGACACATGTTGATGTAGAAGAGACATGAAGAAGAGGGGACACATGTTGATGAAGAAGAGACATGAAGAAGAGGGGACACATGTTGATGTAGAGGAGACATGAAGAAGAGGGGACACATGTTGATGTAGAAGAGACATGAAGAAGAGGGGACACATGTTGATGTAGAAGAGACATGAAGAAGAGGGGACACATGTTGATGTAGAAGAGACATGAAGAAGAGGGGACACATGTTGATGTAGAAGAGACATGAAGAAGAGGGGACACATGTTGATGTAGAAGAGACATGAAGAAGAGGGAACACATGTTGATGTAGAAGAGACATGAAGAAGAGGGGACACATGTTGATGTAGAAGAGACATGAAGAAGAGGGGACACATGTGTATGTAGAAGAGACATGAAGAAGAGGGGACACATGTTGATGTAGAAGAGACATGAAGAAGAGGGGACACATGTTGATGTAGGAGAGACGTGACAAAGTGGATTTAGCACGATAGGTCCCCTTTAATAACTAAACACTCAGAGTGATCTTAGCTGTCTCTCTGACCTGCAGGTCCCGGATGTCGAACGGTTCCTCGTAGATGTAGACGGTGTCGGCTCCGGAAGCCAGCCCCCCCACGGTGGCCAGGTACCCACAGTACCCCCCCATCGTCTCGATGATGAAGACCCTGCGCTTGGTGCCGCTGGCCGACTGCTTGATGCGATCACACGTCTGAATCACACGCAGATTAAAGAGTCAACAACAACAACATGGAGGATCTGTTCACTAAAGGAGAGCTGAGATGATTCATAACAAAGTCTTTATATCGTTTCATATCAAGTCAAAATGTTGAGGGTTCAAATGAAATACTTCTTTTGGTTTTGGCCAGTCGAAGTAAATCAGAATTTTGGGCTGAAGAAAACTGATAGGAATTTAGATGTTTGTCTTTAAACTACACAATTAATAATCTGAACAATAATAGTTGGTACTGATCAGCTGCAGCTCTACTTTAAACCGAGTACACATGCAGCTTAGTAACCTTTAGCAGTTCATGCCGGTAAAGAGTCAGATCAATCATTCCCAGTGATGCACAGGTTAACTCCTTGGTGATGATTACAGACCATAACATGAGGCCATCAGTGGGAGCATTTACTAACAATGAGACTTCATTTAGCCTCTACTATTATGCAGGGTTCATACTCTTTTTACCAATGACTTTTCAATGACCTTTACCTAATTTTCCATGACCAAAACAAATTACTCTTTCTCAGCGGTTCCACTGAAAATGGTTTATTTTAACATGGAACAGGAAAATAAGGTCTGAAACATGTTGTGCCTATATAAAACAAATCAAGTAGTTAGCTTACTAGCTTCTACAGGCTAAAGCAACTCAAATATCTCACCGGCAAAACACCTCGTCAGTTAAATGCCATTTTACGTTTCATTACGATCCCGTATTTATTATCATTATAGTTTTGGCGATTAGATAAAATATAAATTATATTTGATGCAACTTTAGTTACATTTCCATGACTTTTCCAAAGCCTGGAATTAGCATTTTCAATTTCAATGACCAAACATATTGTTTTCCATAACTTTTCCAGGGCCTGGAATTAGCATTTTCAATTTCCATGACTTCTCCAGGTTTTTAATGACCGTAAGAACCCTGATGACTCTTTAGTATACATTTGAATGTGAGTCATTGTCCTATTCACCTGCAAATCTACTCAATGAAAGGAAAGCTACCAATTATGTTGGAAAACTTAAAAACAAGTGTCATGGGGTTCAACAATTGAAAAACTTGATGCAGCTTTATACATGTTTCCTATGCTCTCTTAACAATGATTGACTTTGCTCACATTATTTTCAAAATAAAGAATTGTCATTTTTTCGTGGGTCTAAAATAATTGAATGTTGGGTATCTCACGGCCTTAGAACGATGCAGACAAATGGTGGGTCAGAATCCCATATTTTAAACAATCTGAAATGCTGATGGTTTGAGAATGCGCCAGAGTTACCCTGTGCATACTGGGCCTGTTTTATAATCCAGTTATATTTATCAGGACAATAAACTCCTTAGCTGACTTTAAACATCTGGTATCAACAGACCAGAAGGCAAACATTTTACAATCCAGAAATAAAAAACATGTCCCGGTGAACTCACAGGTCAACATCATCAATACAACAGTCACTGACATGCAGGTGCATTCTGGGAATTAGAGTTCTCTTGTCTGGTTCATCAGGAATATTTGTACTCACAGATTGTAGATTTCCTTCCTGCTATCAAGGCTTCTCCATAGGTTCAAATAGTATTTCTTTGTAAATAATAAGAGAGGTGATTTGTTTCTGATCTCTTTTCTGGCCCTTACCTCCACGATGGCGTTGAGCGCCGTGTCGGCTCCGAGACTGAGGTCGGTGCCTGGCACGTTGTTACTAATCGTCGCAGGCAGCATGCACATCGGGATGCAAAACTCCTCGTGGTGGAGCCGGGCCTCGAACAGCTTCAGGAGGGACTCAAAGGCCTGGAGGCCGCGATACAGGGTTAGACCACCAGGGGGCACACTACCATAAAGACTGAAGCATCCTTCAGTCCTCACAGTAAACACAGAGCTGAATCCTAATGCACGCTGAAGGCTCTTTGAGCAGGTTTTCTCTCACTGATCCTGCTGATATGTTAAATGTTTGTTGTTCATGTATTGTGTCTTGATATGTGTTGATGCTACACATGGAGCTGCTGTGAAGCAAGTCACATGTCAGACTTGATCCGACCAATAAAGTATCATCGTATCGTATATCTCAAGGTGTCTTTGTGATGGAGGCCGAGGTGCTTCATGGTGCTCAGTGGCTGCCTTTACTTGTTTCCTTCAGTACTGATATTGTATGTGTTGTAAATCAAGGTGTGTCCCAATTCCTCCTTCATTAGGGAATGTTTTAGATACTAATGTTCACATTAATCATACTATTTGTGCAGTTGCTAAGCATGAAATAAACTAACTTTTCCATTATTGGAAAAAAAAATACTAATTTTTATGAGCTGTTCAAACCCTGAAAAGATCAATACATATTTGTAATTTTAGTTTGAAAGATTTGATCAGATCAGTACGTGAACTTATTCCTCAAGTCCACCAGGGTTTAAGGACACAAGTAAAGTGTCTTTAAAACTGAGACCATGAAGATGCAGCTCTGTAAAGTGTGTGTGCGTGCGCATGTGTGTGTGTGTGTGTATGCTGCTGGCTCTCTCCATTGGACCATTGGACGGGGGCTTTGGCTTCCCATTGGCTTAGAGGAGATGGGATGGGGCAGTGTGTGTGTGTGTGTGTGTGTGTGTGGGGATGGGGGATATTTTCACCCTGGCCTACATCAAGACGTGTTGACGCGAGAACAAGATAGCGATAGGGGCGGCTCTCCGGAGGATACGGACGATCTTCCCTTTTATGAACAAGAACTAACAGAGGGCCGGGCTCCAAAGAACCTCCAGACTGAAGAGAACACAGCGACCTTGGGTCCCCTCAAAGGCGCTATATACATTGAAGTTATTATTATTATTATTAGAGAGCGTGTCTTAAGAGTATGCACACACACTCTTATCCTACAGAGCGTGCACACACACTCTCTAAAGGCTCTGACCCCCTCAGCGTCCCTGTTGCACTGAAGCAGATCACCTGTCATCATCTGCTGTTTCCACAACAATCACGCAAGGGCAACACGTGACTACATGCACTTACCTGAGGTCAGCTGACCCGCTCACATCCTGCTACAATCGGCAATAAGATGTTTTGATGGTTTCTCTGTACGATGGTACTGACTGTGAGGGACTTCTTACTGTTTCTTCAGTTTTCTTATTGGTGTTTCTAATTATTCATATGACTGTTTCCTTCTCAGAGAAGCGTAATAACTAACTCAAATATGCTGTAATTGAGTGTCAATGTTTTATTACAAAACATTTTTCTTTTCTGTACACCTTTCTTCAGAGGTTGTGTCACCAGGATGAATTGTGCTTGAGTTTGTGTTAGAAATCCAAGGTTTAGGGCCGAGATAGATAGCCACGGCCTCGTTGTTGGTAATGGAAAGTCCCAGGCCCTGTCAACGTTGCAACGTACTGTATATTTAAAGGTCCCATGTCATGGCCATTTCTACTGATCATAATTCCATTGATGAGGTCGACTAGAATACATTTACATTGTTCCAAACTCACATTGGTTTCTCACAGCATCTCTGTATAGTATGTGTTTTCACTCTCTGTCCTACACGGCTTGTTGGAGCTCCCCCCCCCCTCTCCCTGTGAGCCCACTGTGCTCTGATTGGTCAGATCGCCCACTCTGTTCTGATGAGTCCACCACCGTTACAGCGGAACATCAGTGTTTATGTTTTACAATGGCGTTTCTTAGCAACCAGAAAATGACACCAGTAATGACAAACAGATGAGAATGCTGCGTGGGGTCTGGGTGCCGTGTTGGCGGGACGTTGCGCGGCTCGCTGCTCCGCCCTTTGAGGCTCGAGGAGCAGACAGTGTGAGCTGGATTACTGGTGTCATTTCCTGGTTGCTGCGTGGGGTCTGCGAGACACCGCCAATTGGTCCATTTGGACTTTGTTACGTCAAAAGGACCCGGAAGCAAACAATGGAAACAGATAAATGTCCAACGAGGCGTTCTGGGGCAGCACAGACAGGTCTTCTCTGTGTTAGAGTGTTACTCGCTACAGGGTGCACTTTGAGGGTTTGTGACTGCAGACCGTTTACATGCAGAAAAACCTTCATAACACAAGGGGACGGGTGATAACCAGAAAAGCATGACATGGGACCTTTAACACATAAGAAATAAATAAGTCTGGCAGTGGCTCAGTCAGTAGGGGCTTGTGAGCCGTAGGGTCGCCGGTTCAAGTCCTCGACCAGACCTGAGTGTGGACTGCTACTTGGAGAGGTCCCAGTTCACCTCCTGCCCTGCCGTGGTGCCCTTGAGCAAGGCACCGGACAACCCCCTTCCCCCCTCACTCCCCGGGCGCTGTACAATAGCTGCCCACTGCTCCTAGTGCTAGACTCCTGGTACTAGGATGGGTTAAAAGCAGAGAACACATGTCACTGTGTGCTGTGTGCTCTGCATGTGAGACCATTAAAGAGGGTTCATCCCTCCCAGTTCTTGAGGGTTTCAATTCTTGAGAAAGTTAAGGGTGTAATTGACACTTTGTTATACTGCTATTATGATTATCAGGGTTTTGTTTATGTGAAAGCAAAGTCTTTTACTGGCAGGTTTGAGGCTGCTTGTGTTTACAGAAAATAATGCACTGACCTTTTACCCACGTCATGTTGCCCCTTCACTGAAGTGTCCTGACTGTCCTAACTTATCATAAACCTTCCGATTGTTTTCGGAGGATGTGAGCTGACGATCAGCGAAGCCCCAACTCTCACAGGCTGGATGGTGTGTGTTTAAAATCTAATTACACACACACTTACCCTGCACTTACATCAGTAATGGCGTTCAGAGCGGTGTCTGAGCCGATGCTGAGGTCGGACCCGGGGATATTGTTGGAGACGGTGGCGGGGACCATGACCATGGGGATACACAGATCGCTATATTTGCTGCGTGCCTCAGAAAGTTCCAGTAATCCCACGTAGGCCTGGACAGCAAGAGCTTAGTGTTTATGATGTGCACACAGAGGGGTGAGGAGGGGGAGGAGAGGGAAGAGGACTAATGCCAGGGTGCAATGGATGTGACGACGTACTGTAGGAGAGTTTTTAACGAAGTCATGGAGGTAGGAGCCTTGAATTTGTAGCATTTACAAATATATAATGCTATTTTACACCTTGGTGGTAATGCATGAGCGCAGCTTTCACCATTTTGTCTTGAAAGTCAAAACATATGCTAAGAGTGCACCAATGTTTATCAATCTGGTAAGCCTTGGAGTGCTATTGCCAATTACATATCAAGAGAAAGAATGTTTTTTGAGACATTCAATTCTAGCTTTAACATCTTCAGAATTTCCCTGGAGCTATTTTTGAATTTGTTTTACATTTTATTAGAAGTTTCTTTACTTCCCATGTTGTGCAAAGCATTGAAGAATAACACTCGTTATCATAGAGCTGCTCAATTTGGAAATAATAACTAATTGTGAATATTTTACAGAATTTACCAATTTGTCTTAAAGTCAAATAATTGGCAATAAGTGCACCAATATTTATCAATTTGGTAAATGTTGGATTATTGGCAATTCAATATCAAAACAAATCAAGACGTTAGTCTAGAGCATAGTTCAGTAACAGGTGGACCTATGATCAATACATTAATAGGGGATTTCAATTTTGACGGGGCGATTCTATTTGAACCGCCGCCGACAGGGGGCGAAAGAGAGGAGTGAGCGATACAGGGAGAGAAACACAGAAGAAGAGACGAGAGCGCGGCAGAGAGAAGCGGAGAGGAAAGTGAGTGAAGAGAATAATTAGCGATACAGGGAGAGAAGCGGAGAGAAGCGGAGAGGAGCGTGAACAGGCGTGTTAGCGGCAGACAGGGAGAGACAAATAATTACACATGACGCTCTCCAAGAAGAGGACAGTGGACAGTGAGAACAGAGCTTTTAACCCTGAGTGGACTCCTTCATGTTCATCCTGCCCACTGGGAGCACAGAACCAGTGTGTCTAATTTGTTCAGAGACCGTGGCGCTCATTAAAAGAGACAACACGCCACTATGAGACAAAGCACAAAGTGTTTGACCAAACATTCCCTCTCAAGTCAGAACTGAGGTCAGATAAGCAGTCTCAGAGCCCGATATGATCAGTCCACCAGGATCAAAATTAAAGATAAATATCGTTCCAGGGCAGGCTAACCGAGGCTAACCAATGAGCTAACCGAGGCTAACCAATGAGCTAACCGAGGCTAACCAATGAGCTAACCGAGGCTAACCAATGAGCTAACCGAGGCTAACCAATGAGCTAACCTGCATGTGTGTATGAGAATGGCCCTGACACCATTTCAGCCCAGATTTAAGCTCAATTCTCGCACTGAATAAATCAAAGTGAGTGATGGACTGCAATATAAGAGGGAAAGAAAGAGAAACTTTAAAACTGTTCAATTGTTATGATGTAAAGACTGATATTGTTCTATAATCGTCTGAAACTGTTAAGTCATGATGTGAAACGGTTAACAAAGAAAAAGAGAAACTCAAGCTGCTGCTACACTTTATTTAATTTATCTAAAATTAAGCACTTTTTTAAGATGCCCATATTTTCAAAAGCTATTTTATTTATTTTATCTATTTTTATTGTTAAATGCAGCCCGAGAGGAACATTACACATATCCACAGTATTGACTGTATATCTGTTTAGTTCAATGTTAATAGACAATAAATATTGTTGTTTTTGAATTGTACTTTATTTATTTGATTGGCAGTCAGTTGTTGATTACATGCAGACGTTGATAAAGCTACAGCTACTTCCATATTATATCACACTCATTCATAAAGCAACTTAGACATTTTGAAGTTCTGGACCTTTGCATGGGGACATTTTCTCTAACTGGACCTCGTTGAATTGTAGTTGAATACCCCTGGTCTAGAGATTAAATTACAATTGTATAGTTTTCTTAATTTTCATCAAGTTGTTTCTGTATTTGTTTTACATTGAAGTAGCCATTAGTAGCTCCTTCACTTCCTATGTTGTGCAAAGCATTGTAGAATAACACTCTTTATCATAGGGCTGCTCAATTTGGATACAAATAACTCATTTGGATTATTTTTGACTGAAGTTGCAGAATGGGTTGAATTGTATTAAATGGATCCGTAACAATCAAAGGTTTATCATTAAGTCTGTCGAGAACTGTTTGTAGGCCAGGACTTATCTGCAGCTCTGCAATACATCATACAGATATGTTCACATATTCTGCATTTATCAAATATTGTGCTTACTGCAATTTGGATATTGCACTAGTCCATGTAGGGATTTTGATGTCATTTTGAATAATTGTGCAGCCCTAGTTTATCAAGAACCAAAACAACTCAAACTAACTGAACATAATCACATGTAGGAGTACAAAAAAAGACCCAAAATCCTCTGAGAACTCTGCAGAAGTAACTATGTAGATAAAAAGGTGAATATTATTGGTGTGTGTAGGGAAGAAGCAGACTTGTGGTGGGTGGGGCTTATAGAGCAGGGGATTTAATGGGGTGGGGCTTGTTGGTGGGGGATAGATATTAGGCTTGTTTGAGATGAGCGAGACCGACGCAGACCTACGCAATTGCGACTGCCGTCTTGCTAGTGCGTTGCATGACAGTGGGTGTTTCTCAATGTCGAGTAAAGCTGCTCCAGAGCCACTATTTCAAGCATACTACGTCATCGAGTGCCGCCAAAGGACTGTTCCAATGTCCAGCATACTTGGAATTCTACCGAGCCCGGGGTACTTCGTTTGGAGAAATTTCGAGGCTGCACTCCGCGGTCTTAAAATCCCCACAATGCTTTGCGCACGGACCAATTTCCCCAAATCTGTGGCGGAGAATGTAAGGCGGGGCCTCTCATATGACTCACACCTGCACACTTGTTAGCCTGTTCCATTCTTCGTTTTCCGAATGCCAGGAAGTATTCTTGCCTCGCTTCTGAAGCAAGTGACTCGGAAGACATGTGCTACCAAGCAAGCGTACTCTACATTGAGGGTGTTTCTCAATGTCGAGGACGCTTGCTTGGTAGCACATGTCTACATCCAGGCTTGGTAGAATTCCAAATATGCTGGACATTGGAACAGTCCTTAGGCGGCACTCGATTACGTAGTATGCTTGAAATAGTGGCTCTGGAGCAGCCTTCCTCGACATTGAGAAACACCCACAGAAACACCCGGTTAGTCATTTTCGCCTACATGAGACGTTGAAATCTCGCTGGACAAAGACGCCGGCAGCCTTGAGAGCGAGGCGGCGCAGTTCCTCTCCACGGGCTGCGGAAGCGAAATGCTTGATGGGAAACGACTCGCTGGTATCTCGAGCTGAGCGCTCATTGGTGGTTTTTACCCCGTGCTGCTGATGAAACTCTCCAATTGGCTTTGTTGTTTTGTGTCAGTTTTACGTCGCCACTTCCATTCCCATTTTTCATCATTGTTCCACAATCTTCGTCGCAGATTAAGAGGATGCAATAGAAATCCCACAATTATTATATCACTACAAATGAATGACTCAAGTGTCTGTTCATTTTTAAAACAAATCAATACAAGGGGGGTTGAATCCTACATGTAAAAGACAGAACCACTTATTACTTTTCAAAACTACTTCCGTCAGGGGTCTTGACCAGTTTGCATTTATAAACACCAGCGCAATTTCCGCCATTGCAAACCGAGTCAAGCCGACTCCGAGCTGTCCGACTTCAGACGAGCTTTTTGAGACCTCCCCCGGCTGCAATCGGCTATTCTCATCTACTTTCGAGGCGAGCCGCAGCTCGTCTCAAACAAGCCTAGTAAGAGTGATGCATTAGAAAAATCAGAGACAGCAATGGTGGGTGGGACAGATAAAAGTTCTGAGGGACTGTGGTGGGAGGAGCCAAGAGGAGAGAGCCAGGCCAATCACAATGAGACACAAACAGGAAGTGGACGTACTGTAGCAACACGGCAAAAGATAAGTGTTCATTCAATGGCCAAGCTGCCTTTTTTTTGCAATATTTACAGTTTTAAACCTAATTTATATACATTTCATACAGAATTTTAAAACGGGTGTCAATTAGGGTGTCAACGTTACATTTTACCAGCCGAAAATTGATCTTGCACTCCTAAAATTAGGGTTCAAACTAGCGCTGTTAGACGTGGAAACGTATCAACTATCTCTATATTTTGGATTTAATACTTAGATATTGATATTTTATATAGAAATCATCCCAAAGCTTTGGCTGTGCAGCTTGGCCATGAAGTGATAAGCATGTGGACAGACGAGGAGAGAGCCTACAACATGTAGATGTGTTTTAAATGTCTTTGGAGAATATGGTTATACAGGAAGCCAAAGACATGTGTTGAAAATTGAGATATCTTAGAGGGTAAATCAGTGACATTAAACAATACAATACATAGTACTTGTAAAATACTGAAAACAACCGAATAATGCAATATAGCAGATATAATAAGAATGACCAAAGAAAATTATTAAAATGTTCTTTTAAACAATTACTAGTAGCTTTGTTTTACTATACACAGTTAGATGAACACTTGTTAACTTAAAAATAAAGGAAATATGAATATTGGCAGAGAGATAACTATAGTGATATTAAGATAAAACATTATACTGAAGGATCAGGTAAAGGTACGTACCTCAAATCCTCCGATGACCAGCAGGGCGTTGATGTTGTGGATCTTAATCTGCTCAGCGATCTTATCCAGATATTTTCCAGGGAGAGTTCTAGGATGTAGAAAATAAAGAGTTACGATGTTGTTTTCGGCTGTGGCGCAGTGGGGTAATACGCTGAGGGAACACCGGTTCAATCCCACCTTGACCACCACTGCAGTCAGCATGCTGTTTTGTCTTTGTGCAACACAATCTTATTTTCTGTACTCCACAGTGAACACCTTAGTCTCGACAACACAACAACATGTACACACACACACACACACACACATACCATGTATACATCACTTCAGGGGACATTACATTGACTTACATGCATTTCCTGGAGACTTATCCTAACCTTAACCATAACCAACACATGCCTAACCCTAACCCTTACCAAGTCTTCACCCTAAAATGAATGATTCCCCTTATGAGGACCTCCATTTTGTCCCCATAAGGGAGGCGAGTCCCCACAGGTGACTGTGTAAACAGATTTAGATCCCCACAAGTATAGTAATGCTAGACCACACACACACACACACACACACAAACACACACACACACACAATATGTGAATATGAAATTCAGAATCACGCATCCACACTCACCGTTTTGTCCCCAGCAGCGAGCCTCCTTGGCCGGTCCAACCTCCGACATCCCCCCATTTGATCTCCTTTATCTGAGGATAAAACCGAGAGAGGTCAGAATTAATCACACTGTCATTCCTTTATGCTTTGACTACTTTATTCTCAAGTACATTGTTGTCAATGCTTAAGTGATATGGATGTGGATTGCCTGGACAAACAGGGACGCTGGTGTCTCATAAAGATGGAGCTGCTAAATGTATTTAATGCCTGGAGCAACACAGAGAACATGTCATTCAAATCCTCAGACTCTGGCCTGCTTACCAACCCCCGCACCAAACTGCAAACCTTCGGGGACAGAGCCTTCAGTGTGGCAGCCCCCACCCTCTGGAACGCTCTCCCTGCGGAGATTCGCAACATCCCCACACTTGACGCCTTCAAAAGGGCCCTCAAGTCCCCTCTGTTTGCCAAGGCTTTCGGCCCCTAAATCGATCTGTTGTTTTGTCTGTCTCACTTTTGTTTTGTTTTTGCCCTATTACTTGTAAAGCGACCTTGGGTCCCTTGAAAGGCGCTATATAAATCCAAGCTATTATTATTAAATAAATGGTATTGTGGTTGAGGCATCTAAAAGAGTCATATCTCTGGATAGCATTTAAACATGGAAGATCCCCAGAATGATTTAAAACACCTTCATCAGGTGGTAATGAACATGTTAGTGCCCTGTCTTCTTTATATTAAATCAGTGTTTCTCAAAGTGGGGGGCGCAGAGGCATGACAGGGGAGGCGCGAGAGACCAGGAGGAAAAACGGTTATTTAAAAAGTACGTCTGGGTCTCTGTGTTTCATTCAAGCTCTGCTCTGTGTGTGTGTGGAACGAGCCATTTTGTGTGTGTGTGCGAGAGCGAGAGAGAGAGAGAGAGAGAGAGCGCGCACCGGTACCGGAGATCGTTGTTGTTAGCATCTGGTGCTAGCGAGCTACGCTAACGGATATAAGGAGTTTTTTCAACAACAAGGTGGAGGAGAGTCCTCTCCTGTGAGACTGAGAGACTCAGTGAGCTAAAGGACTCTCTCAGCGTTATCTCAGTGGGTCTCAAACGTTTTGGTCACCATTAATGTAAACAATTATTTCCGAGGCACACGTTTATATGATCATTATAGTTATAAAAGAATAAGAGAATAAATGAAAAACAGGTTTGAAATACTATATGACAGTAAAATAAGAATACAGTTTGAAAGGGGAGTGATTTGTAAAATATTCATAAAGAAAAAGTAAATCTGTTTACAGTTCTGTTTCATCTGAGTGTTGAGAGATGTATCCATAGATCTCTCCATGTTGCTCTCAAAGTGCACCAGATTGATGCTTTCAACTTCAATATTTAAAGAAAAATCTTCCCGGTCGAGCCCCCGGACCCCCCTAGAGGAGGTGAGGTCCACACACCACCTATATTGTAACTGTTGTGGGTACACTGTGTATTTGCGTGTGGAGTGTTGCAGTAGAACATTCCTCTGTAGCGCCCGGGACATTAATGGGAAACCCTAAATGTTTGAGCCCCCTCTAGGAAACGTCAAGCTACCCCACAGCGCCCCAAAATAAATCTCTTGAGCCTGCAGCCCCGCTTTGAAAACAGGCTCATTGCAGCCACTAATGCTAAGACACACTTTCCTGCCAAATATCAGCATTTTCTTTCTTTTCATTTTTTTGCTTAACTTATTGTTCGAGCAAAGAGATTTGAGCAAACAGACTTATGGAGCATTGTTTTATTATCACTGTTCTAGCAAAGTGATTTTTTTGAAAGGAATGCTCACGTCCATATCGATGTATTTTTTTTAATAAATGTTAACTTGGCCCGTTACGTGACTATTTGTGTTGGGGGGGCCGACTTTTTGTTTTCTCCAAAGGGGGGCCTGACAGAAAAAGTTTGAGAACCACTGCAGTAAATGGATATATTGTTCTGTTAATGTGTCAGAGTATCTTCCTCTGAAACACAAGCAGCGTCTCGCTTAGTCAGGTTTTAGCCGAGGATCACGGCTTTACTTTTCAATCAAGTGTAATCCTCCAGACAGTCTCAGCCCCTCTCTATGTGGAGTGTGTGTGTGAGAGTGAGAGTGTGTGTGTGTGTGTGCGTGTGAGAGAGAGAGAGAGAGAGTGTGTGTGAGAGTGTGTGTGTGAGAGTGAGAGTGTGTGTGTGTGAGAGAGAGAGAGAGAGAGAGAGAGAGAGAGAGAGGGAGAGAGTGTCTGTGAGAGAGAGAGAGAGAGAGAGAGAGAGTCTGTGAGAGTGTGTGTGTGTGTGAGAGAGAGAGAGAGAGAGAGGGAGAGTGTGTGTGTGTGTGTGTGTGTGTGTGTGTGTGTGTCTTGACAGTGAATAGCTCTCTTAAGTCCCCCAATCTTTCCAAATTGGCCTCTGGGATGATGCCACTACATCCATCCCTGGTCTGTGTGTGTGTGTGTGTGTGTGTGTGTGTGTGTGTGTGTGTGTGTGTGTGTGTGTGGTATGTGTGTGTGTGTGTGTGTATGTGACTGTGAGTGTGTGTGTGAGCGTGACTGTGTGTGTGTGTGTGTGTGAGCGTGACTGTGAGTGTGTGTGTGTGTGAGCGTGACTGTGAGTGTATGTGTATGTGTGTGTGTGAGCGTGACTGTGTGTGAGCGTGACTGTGTGTGTGTGTGTGAGCGTGACTGTGTGTGAGCGTGACTGTGTGTGTGTGTGTGAGCGTGACTGTGTGTGTGTGTGTGAGCGTGACTGTGTGTGAGCGTGTGTGTGTGTGTGTGACTGTGCGTGTGTGTGTGTGTATGTGTATGTGTGACTGTGTGTGTGTGTGTGTGTGTGTGTGTGTGTGTGTGTGTGTGTGTGTGTGTGTGTGTGTGTATGGAAACAGAGTAATTGGCTTACAGTTAGTAGCCCTGTTTATCTGGGCACATCTCAATCTTATCACAGCGACTGCAACACCACTTTCCTCCTGCCATGCTCAGAGTGACTTTTTCTAGAATCCCGCTTACCCCATACTGTTTACTCTTAATAAACGTTAGTTAGTAAACGTATTTGTACCGTATAGTTGCATTCATAGGCTGAGTGTCGTGGATTACAACTGCATGACTTTGGGAGGGATTGATCATTTTGCATCATCGTCTCATTATGCTTGAAACACATATTACGATTGAAAGGGTGTCGTTTTAAGAAATCTGTACCAAACAAATATGATTTTTAAACTCTGTGAAATACACTTAGTATATCTCTGCAGCTGTTAAATACTTCCATACTTTCATACACTGAAAAATGTATTTTAACACATATTTTTCCTTTCCCAAATAAAGCACTTCCTGTGATTTCAATATTGCACTTGTCCAATCCTGATTACACGTTTGACTAATTGTGCAACCTTTAAGTGGCTCACTAATCTATTGATTGTGTATATATATAGGATATACATATTTGTATATATATATTTGTATATGTGTATTCTGGATTGTGGGAAACGGTATTTCGATCTCTGTATGTACACACACACTGAAAGATTGACAATAAGTTGACTTTGAAGGAGCCAAAGGCATCAGATGTAAACACATTAGGATAGAGGTGCAAGGTGAAGTAATAACAGCCTCAGAGAAAAGGAGCCGAGGCCGGACTGATCTAGTTTCGAGGTGTCGAGTTCAGGCGTTTATTGTTCTGCAGATACTTGAGTAGCGTGGCAACACACAGTGAACTCAGCGTGATGGGAATATTTATCTGGGCTGAAGAAACATCTTGATCCTGAGTCCTGAAAACACTGACATCATTGCAAGATCAGATTAGCAGACGTTGTTATCTGAAAGGTCCAGATAACCACTCATCATAGTTCCATTGTCGAGGTCTACTAGAATAGATTTACATTGTTCAATGTTCCAAACTCACATTGGTTTCTCACAGCATCTCTGTAAAGTGTGTGTATTCACTCTCTGTCCTACACGGCTTGTTGGAGCTCCTGCCCCCCACTCCTCCCTATGAGCCCACTGTGCTCTGATTGGTCAGCTCGCCCACTCTGTTCTGATGAGTCCACCGTTACAGCGGAGCATCAGTGTTTATGTGTTACCATGGCTTTTGTTAGCAACCAGAAAATGACACCAGTAATGACAGACAGATGAGAATGCTGCGTGGGGTCTGGGTGCCGTGTTGGCGGGACGTTGCGGGGCTCGCTGCTGGAGCGGACAGTGTAAGCTGGGTTCATTTCCTGCTTGCTGCGTGGGGTCTGCGAGACAGCAAGACATCGCGAATGGACGCGGGAAGGGGGGGGGTGCTGAGGGGGCTGCAGCACCCCCATCTGCGAGGCTCCACTAGCACCCGCATAAGACTTTTTATTTCTGTTCAGAGCCTTCCTTATTTTGCCTAGTTATTCAGAGGCAAATCTTTAGTGATTGTTGAAATGGGAGATAACTAAATAAATACACCGTATGTGACCCGCTCCATCGAAATCAGTCGGAAGTCGCAACGGCTCATTTCAAAATAAACGTGGATTTACGTAAAAAACTATTTTTTCGGGGTTCGATGTTTTGTTTGATTTTAAACAAACAAAGTCTTGGCTTTCAGAATATGAAACTTTTATTTCCAAAATCACACGATAAATACATTTTTGAATCTTGTAAAGGGACGAAGACAGGCACCTCTCACTCGCAATCTGCTCTTCCGCAGCGCCGCCCCCCTCCCTCCGGCTGAAATTATGAATGTAAGAGTATAGTAATCATAGATAACACGGCAGGGTCCGTTACAGTTTGTTTTCATCTGATTTCAATTAAACAAAGTCTTGGCTTTCAGAATATTAAAGTTGTTTCGGCAATTTCAGATGATAAATACAACTTTGAAGCTTAACGGCATAATTACCGTCACAGCAGGCGTAACAACAGCCGGTGTTTCTCGTGAGGGTTTTCCCCGGGAAACAAACACCATACACACAAACGTAAAAATACACAAACACACACACACACTCGCGAGCTTCCCCTCCAAACGAAAATATCTTCCCTTCGTAGTATTTTGATCATTTGCTCCACTAATAACCAATCAGATCGATGGATTCCAGAGAAGAGAAAACTTTGAAGGCCTGTTTCTCAAAATGAGGACTCGGTGACA